TGAGACAGTTTTCCATTTGTCATCTATCTATCTATCTATCTATCTATCTATCTATCTATCTATCTATCTATCTATTTTTTGGCTTTTGCCTATTTCCGAGGTAATGCTCACATGCATTGGAATTTGATAAGGAAAATGCAGTTACTGGACTAACAGCTGGGAATATTTACAGTAGTAGATCGATTCTTTACAGTTTATCAATCTTTTGCAGGTTATTTAAAGCCATAAAATATTTTTATATTGCAATAACTTTTTGGAGATAATAATGCTTACTGATGTAAGTTCTAATGCTTTACTGATGCAAGTAGTTGAGGGAGATTAGGTGGATTTATTACATTCCCAATGGTATTTGCATGTAAGTGAATATATAGAACACGGGTGGAATTGAAGAGTCCATTTCCGATTCTGTGTCGTTATCCATGACACAACACAAGCTTATAGCACCAAGTATTCTTAAGCTGTCACCCAGGAGAAGGTACTGACCAGACTCAATGCCGCTTTACTTCGATGACCATACGATAACAAATGTTCCAACAAGATATGGCCGAAGTTGGAATATTTATAGGATGAATCAAGGAACATATCGCCTTTCTTCACAAATTACTATTACTATTAATTTAAAAGTATCTAACATATATCTCTCTTATATAGATAAGAAGTACTTTCCCAAGTACTTTCGACCTTCTTCCAAGATCATCTTCAGAGGTACAAATAGTACAAAACTATATGTTATTCATTAATATAAGTATTTATACAAAGCTGTGCGTTGTTATCCATTACCGTATTGTTTTCATTATGCTTTTAAATGTAAAACAGTTGACAATGTGCTGTGCGTTCATTAGAAGGTGAAAAAAAATTATCGATCATGGATATATATATATATATATATTTTGGGAGTACTTGGAAATGAAAATAAAAGAAATTTAAACAGCTATAGCACATTTCTCTCATCCATTAACATCAATGCACGGAAGTACGTAGAGTGGAGGTGACATAATAACCTTGAACACTGTCAGGCATACACACTAAATTATAACGTTCTCGTTCAATTCCTTTGTTTATAGCAGTATTTTATAGCACCACACCACAGTGATTCCATCAGCGATCATAATTTAGGCATGAGTTGATTCCAGAATAAAGAGTTTTAAAAAGTTCCAAACCTAACCAAACTCATCTCAATAGGGTAAACATTGTTACGTAAGCACCAGTGACCAAACAAAAAACAATTATATAATAATTAAAAGAAAACAAACTTGACAACAAACCTAAATATAATTAACCAATGCCTTATGTCTTTATTCTGGAATCAACACCATCACTTCACAAGACACCATAAGTGTTAAAACAAAATGGCTATTTTTGTAGTGATGTTATAATAAGCTTATGTTTTAATGTTTGAATCAATACTATTTGCTCTACTCTGTATTGAGCACAATTGTAAGAATAGTGTTTTTGGTTACTGGAATTT